AAAAGCAAGCTTATAAATAAGGCAAATGAGACACTTGAAACAAGCGAGACTAGAGAGGCAGCACTGAAGTTAAAATGGAATAAGAGAAAATGCGGAGGAGGAACGGAAATAGTGGGATAAGGGGGAAAGCAAAGAAATGAGGGATAAGTCCATTTTCCAGAATTCCCGACGCTTAAAAACTGAGCATTTTGTATTTTTTGTTCTCTTTCCGAATTTGCATTCGCCTTCATTGCAGAGATGTGTATTTTTCAGCATTCCGACTTTTTTGGAGAGGACAGGGGAGCTGTTCGTTTCGTTCAAGCGTATGATTTTCAAAAATCGCTTATAGACAAAAAATGCACCTACGTCAAAAAAATAACACTTTTTTGCACACTAAGGAATTATGGGCTTAAAATTGTCGAGCCGACTAGCGATAAACATATTGAGCCATACCAATCTTCCAATCCTGTGTTGTCTTAATACTAATGGACTTTACTGTTGTGGCACTAAATTAAGACGTAAGAAACGTGATGGGCCGAAACGTTTTGATCTCAGCTAAATAATTAATTTTCAGCGCACATTTGTGTTTCTATCTTAAATTGCAACTAGATGTGAACCACTCCCTGAAAAAAGCATATAATTTTACTTTGCTGAAAATGATAATTGGGCATTAAAATGTCACCAGTCAGCGTAGTATCACATAGTTTTTTCCTCATTTTAAGAGCACAGTTTGAGTGTCGGTGTTTCATTTGAGAAAATTTTATCCAAAAAACTGGTTAGCTGCAACAAAAAAGAGAACGGAGAACAGAACTGTGAAGAAGACGAATGGCATTCCAAGGGATGATGAAGATAAGTCACGGAGGTAGCACGGAAAACTGATGATGGATGGTCCAGAACACCAGCACTAGCAGCACTGTGTTCAGGTTCTTCTGTTGCACTCCAATGACATTATGGACTTTCGTGCTAAATAATTTTGATAATAATACATGTCGGAGTGTGAGTATCTTTCATAAGTACTTATACAGTGAATGCGTGTTCTATTTAGCAGCAATACCAAGACTGCCGGGGCAGTCGATGTGAGGAACCCATGTTATATTGATGTTTCTGGAACGTGCATAGAAACACACTGGACATAGCCTCATGAACCCTTTCTGTCCTGGGCTTATTTAATTATTTTCTTACTTTGATCAGCAGTTTTTTCAACGTCGCGTTTCTTCTCGCCCTTGATGCAGTTGGTAACTCCTGCACTTGTCTTTATTTTGAGCCTTTGTCTCACCCACTGCCAGTTATTATCAAAATCCCAATGATCGCTCGTGTAAAAATGACTTACACTTTAGAGGCGTAAGTGCCAGGCTTTCCTACTTCCAACTACGCTACCCATTTTGTGTCCTCTAACCAAACTGCGCCATTTCTTAAGTGTTTTTCCGCGTTTGTCGTTATTCCTGTCGCGCGAATATTATGAAAGTTATAAATTTTGCATTTTTTTTTTTCAGAAATGCCATTGGCTGTAGAGCAAATCACTCTGTATACAGTATGTATTCCAATAATACTGCTGCTATGCCTTCTGGCAGCAGTTTGCAATGCATTGGTACTACTGGCACGATCTCAAATCAAGAATCGCTCCAGCGCCCTTGAGCTAACGTTTTCACTGGCTGCCTCCGATACCTGGACATCAATCGTTGTTGCCGCCTCACTATTCCGAAATTCTTACATGCCCGTTGTCTTGGGTATTCATTATTCGTCTATTTGTTTCCCACTCACTTTAGAGGTAAACATTTTAACTTCCATTGCTTTTACAACACAAATTTTTTTTTGTCTGTTTTATAAAATAAATTTTAATTTTCATTCCTTTTATTTATACAAACAAAATATGTAGAGCAAAAAGGCTGCTAGCGAGTTGTCTCAACGTGACACAGCATTTGTCAAAGCAACTAGAAAACTAGGCTAATAAAGCTGTAGTTAACAAAACTATCAAAGTATATATAGCAGTGATCAGCGCAAGATATCCAGATACTTCTGTTCATGAACTAAAATTAGTGGTACTGACCATAAGGAAAGCAATTATTGTACTACTTGCAATTAGTACAATGCCAAAATGGTGTTGAACTAATTAGTGTCAGCTCTCGGAAAAGGAGGCAGAAATACTTGGCAAAATTTTGCGAAAATAAAGAATTTTTTTTTCTGGAAATGAAACCTCTGGCGTAGCAATGCAGTGAATATTAAAAATCAAAATTCCCATCTCCTTTCTGCCGTCTTGAAATTTACCGGCTTTCTTCCTACGTGAAATTTAGGAAACATTGTACACAAAAGATTTTATATGGAAATGCAGAAAAAATTTTTCTAAAAAAAGTTATTATTTGCACACCAGGAAAGAAGTCCTCATACTCTATGCTTCTAATGGAGGTGGGACATGTGAAGCACATGTGTTGATGTGCCCACATAAAATTGTGCTCACGTAAAATTTCAGGTATTTCGTACCGGTGGATTACTGACCGGACTTCTGCATCTCTCGACACTTGCAGTATATCATGTGGTCTCAATAACACGTCCATTTGATCATACCAAATTGCTGACGCGTCGAAGGACACATCTGATAATCGTACTTATCTGGATAATACCACCGTTGGCTCTTGTGATGTATTTTTCGGCCTGGCCCGGCCAGGGCTATCGGGTCGAGCACTGTATGGTGGTTGATTTTTACGACAAACTCTATTTCCGCCTTATCGTTTCCGTACTCATCATCACGTTGATGATTGTCACCGGCCTGATGTACTGCAAATTGCTCAGCAAATTGAATGAGGTATCGAGTTATTTGCAAATTGGAAGAGCATATGTGAGCGTCTGCTAGCGCGCAGTTTTTAAGGTTACACGCATATTGTGTCTTGCAATCTATTTTGAAATGAAATTGAGTTTAAGTTTTCTAGATTTTTTCACATCAGTGGTAGGGCCAAAGAAATTTTTATAAAGATGGTTTTGGAATATTTTAGAGGCTATTACTGAAAGCTCAATAATATCAAAGCTCCCATTCTGGACGATTTTAATAAGACAAACAGTATGCGGAATATTTAGGAATGCGTCCTGCAAT